GGGGGGGGGGGGCAGAAAAGTTTCTAATTTTGTGAGGGGGAGGCACAAAAAGTTTGCTTTCAGTCTGAAGGGGGTCAAAAAAGTTTTGGGTCAAAAAAGTTTTCAATCCTTATTTTCCCCATTTACCAACTCCCCCTCCCCATAAATAATGACCACTCCCTTAATATGAAGGGGGTTGCTAAATTTTGACTTCAAAATGAATTCTGAACAAAAATGTTTATAATAATATGCAATTTAGTTAGTGGAAGCCAGTAAAATTGCTTTGTTTATCCTTTCTCTGAAACAAGACCACTTATTAGAAATCTGCTAGATTTTATTTAAACATATATATTACTAACGTTTGCCAAGAGCACTAGGCTCATCTAGGGGCTTATGTTACATTTACTATTACATTAGACTGGACAGACATATAGTTACATTTACATTATTTTTACAAAGTTCAAGACAGATATATAGAAACACACATAATAAATTAAACAGCAAAAGATGATAGCTTTGACGAAATTTCTTTAATTTCGTCAAAGCTATCATCTGCTAGATTTGAAATGTCCAACAAAATCACCCTTAGTCCTCCAATTTAAAGTGATCAGGGAATTTTGACAACATATTTTGACTAGAGCTCTGCCATATACATTTGTGTCACAGTCTTGAGAATTCCGATAATCAGTTGGACCACAGGATTTGTCAAGAGAATTGTTTAAAATTCCTGTTCTTGCATTAAATTCTCCACATAAAATGATCTCACCTAGATTGGCAAATTTATTTATGTCATTTTGAAGAGTTTCAAAGTGATTTATGTTTCATCTATGTTCCCTAGGAGAATTTTGTGGAGGAATATAAACTGAAGAAATGAAAATACCCTGGTGCTAAGTTAAAGAAGTCCTTATCTAGTTTCCACCAAACAAGTTCTTTACAGTTAGGGAGCGGTCATAAAGTAAGTGCTACCCTGGGGTGGAGGATTTTTTAATTTTGTGAACAAAATTTCATACCCCCCCCCAAAAAAAAAATTGTCTGATAATATTTGGTATCCCATTGAGATAATGGTCTCAATGTTTCATACCCATCATAAAAAAGGTTAAACAAAATACAGTGTGTCTATTAAACATGCTGGTACATGCACAGATATTGTGCACATGCATTGAGGTATACTTTATAATATTAACTGCTAATTGTATTACACAAAATACCGTTTTGCAATACTAAAACAGCGCAGAAAAATAAATTTTAATTCTAGTATGCATATTTATAAATACCGGCTAGTTATTCTTTATTCCTATTATCACATCCATCCTGCACATACTCCAATAACTGAACACCATTATTCATTAATTGAACATCAAATCTGAAGAAGAGGAAAACCCATGTTTATAAATCGCAAAAACCCACGAAAATTTTGTATTTTCGGATTGTTTTAATGCACAATCTACAAATTTAATTAAAGTGCACATTTATACAATTCTACTTACAAAATCTCACTCTCCAGTTTGTTGCAATTCTTCCACTCCTTGTTGTTGTTGTAAACATTGATTCAACATCAGGTTCACTATTGATGCTGTCGTAATCGGATTCACTGGTTGAGGTATCTGCATCAGAATTTGGCGCAAGTGTATCAGCAATGACAATGTCCTTGTCAGTGTCACTGGATTCCATTGCGGAATCATCTGACTCTTCGTCAAGTGATGCTGAAGCTGCATTGGGATCGTTGAGTAACACTGAAGCAATATGAGTGGTGATGAAATCAATTTTCTCTTTTTTCTTCAGCTTAAGAGATCGAGTTATACACAGTTTGTAATGATGCAAATATTTGTCTAACTCACTCACTTTCAACTTCTTCAATGTTCCTTCTCTTAGTAGAGATGATCAGTCAGTCTTCAAATTTCTTGTTCTTTTGTTCTTCCAAGAGAACTTTCCTTTTTTCTGATCTTTCTCTTTTGTTGATTTCCAAAATCTGCAAATGCTCAATATTTAACAAATATAAAACATTTTCCGTGTTGATATACAGTTATATCAACACTAGTGGAAATTGGGAAAACGAGAAATTGTGTGGAAACACGACGCCCGAAGGGCGGAGTGTTTTCGTACAATTTCGAGTTTTCCCAACTTCCACGAGTGTTGATATAACTATATATCAATACAGAAAAAATGTTTTATATTTGTTTTATAATATAGCAATGTCAAAAGCCCGAAGAATAAGAAAAATTTCCGTGTTTACAAGCGGCGGAAAATATCCCCGTGTTGACATGGAGTTATATCAACACGGCTCTTAGCCAATCAGCGCTCAGAATTTACAAATACTATATTATAAACTTCTTTAACAACACCTTGTCAGTTACAAATTTCTTGGAAAAATCATCAATCTCTTCTTCTGTAGCAAGTTTACCTTGGGCCATGTAACCTTTGACCTGTTTTCGTGGCTGGAAATCATTAACAGGGCGAGTGTTTCCATCAACTTCAACTGGGGTCTCAAACACTGATAAGTAATGAAAACCACTGGAATTGTAGTTTGGCATTGGTTTATGAATACGAGAACAAACTGGACCAGCCCAACCCAGGGCAGAACAATGGTAACATGAAGGATCCAAGCAAGCATACCTGGCATATTCTAAATACTTTTCACCGATTTCAAAGTGCTTTTCAATAAAAGTTTCAAGCATTTTAAAGTAATGACTACCAGGTAATGCCATTCTGGTATTTTCAGAGGCAGCAACATAGTTTTTCAAAAGCTGATGATTGTTGAACAAAAGATCTTCATTCCTTTCTGATGTATAAGCTTTCATATAACCTCCAGGTGCAGGAGCAGCTTCAATTCGAAACATTAACTCATCGCATACTTTAAATGCATTGAACTTCATTCTTTCCAATTCACTGTTTTCTAGCTCTTCAAATGACATTCCATTTAACTGTTCATCAGTAAGCCCTTCATACTGTCCTTTAAATTCCCAGTCCAATGGGCCCCCATCACATATTGTATCTCTGACAAAACTTTGAATTCGTTCAACCTAATTGTGACTGCTATCGTCATTCGCGAGATGATGTTGAATACAATAATCAAGGTTAGTTAGAATTATTACCTCAGTAATTCGAAATTTGACATCATGGTTGGTCACACCCACTCCTGGGCCAGCATCAGTAAACTCATGAACCCTTGATTTCATCACAGAAAGGATGAAATCAAAGTTCACTTAGTCTGCTAGTAGCTTTCCAGATGACAATGTTGGAAGAATTTGACTGCAGGTGAACTTGCTGAACTGACCTAATTAAATCCATAAGTGTTCCAAGGATTCTCCAAATATCACTTTCATCTTGATTAGCTGGGTCATCATCATGGATTGATTCAGTACAATGGGTAATAGCATGTTGCAATATTTTCAATCTTTCCAATTCATACACACGAAATTGGCAGTCTGGTTAATTTGTTATTTTCAAAATGTCTTCTTTACATGTCATCAAAGAATATTGCTTTACTTTATCCACCAGTTGAATATACAAACTTGCTTCTGGATTTATCTCTTGGTTCTAGCTCATTAGTAAGAAACAGTTTTGATTCTTCATAACACAAGTGCATATATTCGGATGCCCAAACAGAACTGCTACTACCAATAAAATGTTTTAATAATAATAATAATAATAATAATAATAGTCTTTATTAATCAATACTCGGAACACACGTCCGAGTTTACATGGAATTATAAGAATATAGTCTATTTTACATTAATTATTTACATCAATAATTTAATAAAACTAGTAAGATTCTACAATGTTGTTAAAAATTATTAAAATGTATCATACACTAGATAAAATTGAAAAGACATCTATTTACAAAAGATTTTTTAAATCGTTCAGTTCTTACTAAGGGCAGCTCAAAGTCATGTCCCCTTTGCCTTAACGTTCGATTTAATTTATTTGGTAAAAGTTCTCTTAGTGCATTATTTTCATCATCTAATATTTTTTTCCATAATCTCTTGTCTCTCTTATTAATTATTTCTCTAAAATTAGATTTCTCTGTTACATATCCATTATGGTATGCACGATTTATAAACTTATCAATCTGACTAATGTATTTAGTGTAAGATGCTCCTCCCCAAAGTTCAGTTCCGAAAGTGAATAATGACATTATTAAACTCTGAAAGAGAAGTTCTAACTGCTTTGTTGTAAAACCATACTGTGGAATTTGTTTTGGTTTGCTGGGTCCTTGTTTAGTAACATTTACACGACTTGTCTAGACTTTTTACATCTTCTAGACGAGATACGTACTGGAATTACATTCTCCATTATACTGGAGATATATAGTTTCCCACTAGGGTCTCTTTATTCGTCTGCAACGCTTATCTACTTTTTGTTGCCATGGCTTACAGTATACAAACTCTGGCCAAAAGTTTTTTTCTAGTACGACCGAACTTGTGGTTAATGGGAATATGTCTTTTAGCAGACATTGTTCCTTTACGTTTACTTTGGAAGGTAGACACCATGGTAGGGGTTATATTTCTTTCAACGAGATACGAGTATATCTGGCTTTCTTTTACGCCTTCAGCAATACCAGATAAAAAAATTGCTTGTATTTCTTTTGTTTATGTTCAACTCCAATAAAGCCATCGGGCACATTGGAGTGTATTAATCCCTCAGAAATTGGGGTATCTTCCTTTGCATTAGTAGCAAGCGACAATTTATCCTTTGCAGTTTTTATAGGTGTTTTAGAGGGGTTTCTTAAATCTGGATGTGATTTTGCAGCTTTTGCGTAGGAAATTTTCATGTTATTATCGCTCACGTCGTCAATTAATCCGTTTAATGTGGAGATGCCTTCTTGATTGCCGCTTATCTCTAAAGTATTTTCTAATGTGTTTTGTTCTCTCAAGGGAGTGCATTCATCACTATTTGCATTATTTGATTCAATTAATTGTTCTGATTGTTCTAGGACAACAGGATTATCAGTGTTGGTGTTGATGGAATTTGCATATTCAAATTGCTCAATTTTTTCCTCTGGTGATTTTTCCGTATTTTTTTTACTTAAATTGTCTGTAGAGGGTTTTGCATTTGCTTGAATTTCAGCAATCATAGAAAAGATTTGCGAAACAGAATTAACCAAAAGCTGAATTGCTTCACCATTCAATAACTGGGTAGATCTAAGACTCTCGATCTCATCCATACGATCACCAGGCGATATGCCTGAATGCGTTTGTGATGGTGGGTTAGGCGATTCTTGTAGCATTGCTTCGCAAATTTTCGCTTTAACAGCTATTGATTGCTCACCTTTAAACAGCAACAAACCTTTAGTTTTTCGCCATACAATACTTGAGTTGTCAAAAGTAAAGAGCTTCCTGTCCCCTCCAGGCTGTGTCCACTCTCCATCAAGGTTTAGGACTTCATTTGAAAATTTCTTGAGCGAGTCAAAATCGCCAGTCCAAGCAAGACTTAGGTGTTCAGTGGACATATCGATTTCACATTCCACTTGATGTATACAGTTAGTGTGGATATTATCTAATATTCTCACTATTAGCAGAAATGGTTATATATATTTGAGGAGCTCAGAATTACACGTCCTCATACACTGCTTTGTCATACACGGGGGCGATTAAAGACCACTGTGTTGTCCCTTGTAATCTTTACTTTCATGTTATTATCTATTTCTTTTATTTCAAAAGACATCACTCGGTTAACACCTGGGGTTGGATTAACCAGACGGGTAGGAAAGTCGTATTTCGGCAAAGTTCATTGCCTAGAATTATCTGTATGATTCTTAAATTTCTTGCACTCTGAACACCTACATCACAAAAAATACAGCAGAAATTAATTAATCCATTTATTTAATATTAATCTATAAAAAACACATTTAATGCATGGCATGAATAGTGACCAGAGCTATGAGACCTGTACTTGTTCCTGGACATATGTAAGCTTTGTCATCCCTGCAAATAAACATGTTAAATTTTCCAGTATCGTCTTGTAAATTGTAATTTTGTCTCAAAAGTATCCTTTCTTGAATGCACGTTGGTAGTGAGTTAATATATTATCATCCTCTTGCAGCTTTGGTGGCTTCTTGCTGCAAAAAAGGCCAAGCCCTAAATGCTTTTTGGCCTGGATACTTTGTCGATTTTTTGGGCGAGCTCTGTTGTACACTGTTGTTGCCGACTTAATTGGCTTTAAGCCTCTTGACAATCAGCTATAATTTTCTAGTTTCAGGAAATCTTTCTTTTTAACTCTATGATTCGTATACACATGACTGCATCACTTCTACGGCCTTGAGCTGTTGATTTGCTCTCAATACAATTCAGTATAAATTCCTCATCTTGATCCAACTGTTGTGGTCTGCCAGAACTGGATTTCCTTATTCCAACCTTCTTTTCCACAATTTCTTTCTTATATTTCCTTGACATCATCTCTTTTAAACCCTTCTCATTCTCACCATTTAAAAGTTTAAGAAATGTTTCTTTCTTATCTTGCAAATCTTCAATATGTTCTATCAGTTCATCTAGTTGTGTCTTATTCCAAAACTTTTCTTTTTTCCTCACTTTTTCCTTCCATATTTAATATGCTGTTCTCCACCTTGTTTATCTTTTCTTGCAAGTCATCCATTACACCAATTTCTGCCTTTGCCTTGACTTTCTTCCGAGCCTCTATTGTTTCAAGCACTTGTTCCTTATATTTACTTACCCTGGAGCCTATACCAAGCTCTATTTGATCCTTCTTAGAAAGATTGTTACCAATAATTACTTTTAGTACTTTCTTGTCCCAAGATGTATCGAGACTGTCTAAAATATCTTTGATTGTATCTGGTGAAAGTGTTGTTTCCTTGTCTTCGTTGTCGTTTATAATATCCTGAATACACAAGTCAAGATCAACTTCATTTGTGCGCAACAGCAGATACTGCTTTTTTACAACATACACTGGAATGCCATGTTTAGGGTGAAGAACAAAGTCCTGAAAAATCTTCTTGCGGTTTCTGTCAGTAAGCACAGCTTCAGTAACATTGGGATGATAAGACATAAACAAGGAAAATGCCACATTGAAATTAATGAAAGAACATCAAATTGTTCTTCCAGGAAGATCAATATTTGCCATCAAAACCTGCAAAATCGCACGAAGACCTTTTAAATTACTAATGTGTGAACTTGTTTCCACACCAAGGTTTTCTTTCCTTTCGAAGAAAGTAATTCTTTCCGACAAATATTCTTCACACACATTTGGGGAATTTGTGTGAAGCGATATTGTTATGTGTTCGGACACATTTAAATATTTTCTCACTTCAGTGCGCATTTTGTTTTTAGACTATTCTGTATGCTCTGGTGACTCCTCCATTTTAAGTTTATATTATGAATTATGCATCCCAATCATTATATAATGGGATTACATGGAGTACTACACTCGCTAGCTCACTGCTGACTAACAAACCTCGTAGAAACCAAAAATCCAAAATGGCGGACACAATTAAAGAGTTGTTAAAGGAAGCTAATCTTTCTCAGTATTTCGATAAATTTATGGACGAAGGATACGATAATTTGAATCACATCATTTCAATGGCAAATTCTGCTGTCGAATTAGAAGGCCTGATGAAAGACGTTGGAATGTTCAACAAGTCGGGCCACAGGAAGCGGTTTACAGCACTTGCATAAAAAAATGAACATGGAGAACCTTCGAAAAGTTCAACACATCCTATGCATCAGGCCGATCGTACAACGATGTTTCAAAATGTAAGTATTTGGTTACTTTTGAATATTTGTATATGTATAAAAATCAATAAAATCTTTACTTTATATATACATGAAGACCAGTATTATACTTTGCACTGACTGTTACATTTAATCCTCTTACTCCTCAACTGGAATTCATGTATCAGGTGTTGAATGATCTATTTTGTTCATTGTACGCATTAATGTCTCCTTTGCAGTTCAAGGATTATGTTATTTCACAACATATAACTTGCTGGAGAATACAGAAAGAAGTGGATACTACCACTAAAAAAGTCAACAATATTTTAAGCCAAGAAAGCAAAGATGGCAATGCCAAAAATGTTCTACATTTTGCATCTGATATTGGAAAAATAAAAAAAGGAACACTTAAGCAAATAGTAGGATTGAGAGCCAACCTATTTGATAAAGACAGAAATGTTAAATCATGGAGGTCAAATGAGTTAAAATACCTTGATACAAAAAAAGCAAGTTTGGAAAAAGTGCTGGATTCCTTACTCAGGACCCAAACATCAATCATTACAAATTTGAAAGTGCTCGAGAGGAAATCAGACAGGTCTACTGAATTTCAAGCTGAAACAAGCAGGAAAAAGAGAAGAGTGCATGAAAAGAACATTATTTGAGTATTTCCAAATTAACGAAAGTGAAAAATGAAATTCTGGAGTACTTGATATGCCAGTGAAGATGAGTTTTAATATTTTGTTTTTTATTGATCGACACAATTATATTTTCTTATTTTTTATAAAAGCATTATGCAGTAGTTTGTGTAAAAGTATATAAGCATACTGTAGTATACAGTGTAATTCTTGTTGAAACTAGTTGTTGGACAATGCTATTGATCCATTGTACAGTATGTCAGACAACAATTTTTAAAAATGATTATTACACTGTGTATTAAATATGCTGTGCTATTGTTTCCATTACAGCCACTCTTTCAATCTTTGTATTATCATATACTCCTGCCCACAAGCTCATGAGGAGGAATAAAATGACGACAAATGGTCAAGTCTTAATATAAGATAATGATGGCAGTGATGTATGAAAGATTATTTGGACCATGAACAGATCTGTTATATTTATATTAAACTATATTAACCCAACTTTTTTGTATTGAAACAAACAAATTTTGTTTCACACCCCCTCTTTAAAATGATAAATTTGTTTCATACCCCCCCCCTGACCCCTGAAAAAAATTTCATACCCCATCCCAATATCCTCCGCCCCGGGGTAGCACTTACTTTATGACCACTCCCTTATCATGAGATATCCAGGTTTCTACTAATGAAATAAAGTCAAATCGATTAATTGTGGAAATAAAGTCGGAATCAGCAACCTTTCTTGAAAGACCTTCAATATTCCAAGAACAGAACTGCAAAAAAATTATGTTAAGTGGCATTTTAAGACATCTACCTGTACAGTTATACATCATAAACAAAAGCATACACATACCTAATGAGCATGTAATACACACACACACATATATGTGTGCACATCCACATACAACCTGTAGATGAGTGTACACACTGAAATAAATATATGTAAACCCCATCATGCAAACATATACTCGTACAGAAAATTATATCAGATTAAATTTAGATGTGGAGAAAAGACTTTATAGTTATATATTAACTAGTCATAATACTGTTGTACTTTACATTCCAAATTGTGGATTATGTACCATAGACTAATCCTGATGGTGGAAAGGGTGGTGGAGAGGGGGGAAATGGACTTTTTGGTTGTGGAGCTGAAAACTTGTGATATGGTGGCTGTGCAGGTGGGTTAACAGTTGTTTGCAGAAATTGTTTAAACATGGAGGTTAGGTCAACAAGTTGGTCTTTAACTTCACTTATGGTTAATTGCTTTGGTTAATTATTCAATGGAGAATTCTGCTTCACTACATCACTCCAACTTGATCCATGATTTGATTTAGGATAGAAAACACTATGTTGTCCATAAACTCTGTGATTATTGATGCCCAAAGCTCTTCGAATCCCATTTTTCAAATTGCTTGCAAAGAGAGGTATACCATGTGTCTCCTACTCAAATGTTTTGTGTCAAAGTAGAATTGATCCTTCTTAAATTTCCATTGTTGACCAAAACGACATTTGGGTTGTTATAAATGTTTTGGGCAACTGCTTTATTGACCTCTAAGACAAATTTATCCAGGTCGTCCCGTCTTGGTGTGACACTTGACATGATATCTTTTTGCTCGGAAAATTGGTTGAGCCAATGTTCACTAAACAAATTTGGCTTTCGATTACTTCTTTGGGTGATAGACTTTCCAGATCATTGGCACCAGTGTTGGTAATGATACCATGCTTCGCAGTAAATCTTGGGGAGGTTAGAATGTCAATAGCTTTGGCTGCAGTTCCGCATGGAATAACTTTGTTATTTCCTTTTCGATAAAGCTGATCAGTATTGATGTTCTTCCTGTTTGAGTCACAAAGGATGGCAAAGTCACATTCTGATGATTGTTCTTGTACTTGCTCTTGGTTTTCATTATTTGTGTTACTGATTTTTGCAGTGGTAGAATCTTTTGCACATGGAACCTTTTCTTCCTGTGGCTTGATTTCACTTTGGGAGATGTGGTTGTTAACATGTTGATCTTGTGATTCAGTGTCGTTAACAGTGTATGATGTGATTTTGAAGATTTTTGCATGGAGCTTTGCATTTGAATTCTCTAAAAAAGCTAATCCTTTCAGTAACTGGGATTTCGCTTTGACCAACGATCCAATGCGACCTTGGAGTTGTTAAATTTTTGTTTCTGCTTTGACAAAACGATTATTTGTCTCGTTTTTATTGTTGTTTTGCAAATCTTTGATAACACAAAGTTCATGTTTTAAATGGGAAAGCGAGCAACTCTGATAATTATTTCTTGGCGCTTGTTAAGTTACTCTGTATATCAAGCATTTCTACGTCTGTTGTAGCCAAAGTCAAGTCAAGTCTATTTTGATTGTGAGTTGACTGAACGGATGATTTTTGTTGCATTTTGCTACGACAAGCCCCAGGCAATATTTTGGTGGTATTGTGGTGAGGTGTGCGAGTGTTTTGTTTTTAATTTGTCAAATTCGTTCTTGCCCATAAATCTTTGTAGTCTCCCTGTATTTTGAGTTTCTGTTCAGCTATATAAACAGTGATTGTGAAAAGATGTTGTTTGCCATTTGCGGTGCTGGAATTTTCCTGGTGGTGCAATTGATAATGTTTAATGATTAATTCTACTAGATCGCTGTCTGAATCTTTACTGGTTATCCTCAACCAGTCTACAGTATAGTTGACGTTGCTACCAAAGTTGATCCAGTACCTTATTTTCAATGCAGTAAGCCACTGTTTGAATCGATGACTGCCTGACACTGATATAAAATATACATCTCCAATTTCAGACAATCATGGTGGGGATTCATTGCCTTGAAAACACTCACTTAAGTGTAATTTTGTGTGCTTTTGACGAATTGATCTGATATTTTATACTTTGACAGATCTTTTCATTCTAAGAAATGCTCTCGTTTCACTTTTTTGAATTTTTCAAATTTTGGCGGGAAAATGACGTCATCCTTTTGGTGCCAATATTTTGTTTAAGTGTTAAGACTTCCTTAGTTAATTTTTCTAAACTGAGATGTTGTGTAAACTTCAAAACCAAAAATAGAATTGAATTATCTTGATTCGATCAAGAGTTATTATAATGGATGGCCCAAAATGGCCGAAATCTGAAAATTCCATCCTTTATAATAACTCTTGATTGAATTAAGATAATTCAATTATTGTTTTGGTTTTGAAGTGAGCGTTTTCTAGGCAATAAATCCCCACCGTGATATAGAATGTTCTTCTGGTTGTATTACAGGAGAATCCTCAGTTACAGAGCTATGAAACCACAGCCTTTCGAACCACAGCCTCTCTCATGTTAGACAAACATTGAAACATTAAAAAACATGATAAACTAAACTGTACAGGAGGAAAACTAAAGACCACATGAAGCCATGTTGTAAAATAATAATTGCATTATATGATTTAATTTATATTTGTATCTCATATGTTTTTTCATTCTTTCTACTTGGATTTTTCCAAAATGTTTTGTATAGTTTTTTTCCTTTTTACCGATTTTAGTATACAATTTGTCATCCATGGACTCTTTTCTTTATAGATATGTTTCTTGTTTTTTTGTGAAAAATTTGTTTCAAAGGCCATCATGAACAATTTCGAGAACTCAATGAAGGCATCATCAGGGCTATTGCTATTAGTGAGAACTTTTGTCCATGATGTATTTTTCATCGCATTGATGAGAGATTTTATATTTTTATCATTAAATGTGCTTTTATAGTTAACATTATTTTGAGGTAATTTCAAGGTTTCTTTGTAATTGTTCATACTACAAACATGTACAATAGGTAAATGGTCTGAGATATCAGTAAATATTATTCCATTCATACTATTATTGATTTTTTCAGATTTTCCCCCTAAAATATTTAGAACATATTCACGTTCATTAGCTGTTTGACGGCAAGGATTCAGCTCTTTGAAGCAAAGTTTTTTCTACGGATCTTTTTATGGCTTACTGGGTGATGAGAGTCGTATGACAAGTATTTGTCTGTGTGTGTGGGTTTGCGATAATAGAATACATATTCTATTCTCAAGTCTGATCCTACTGGAAAGACTCAAAGAGGTTTAAACGCCAAGTTACTTCTTTTGAAGAAATCCAATATTATCAGCAAGCTACATATGAAAATTTATACAGCAGTGATGGACTATCTATCTCTGTGTTTCTATGGTTTACTGAAAATCCATAAGCCAGAAATTCCATTGAGACCTATTGTGTCCTTTGTGAATTCTCCTACATATGGAGTTTCACGTTTTTTGGTGAAACTTTTGTCCCCTGTGGTGGGGAATACCGAAAACACTAAAAAATTCCTGTCATTTTGCAGAATTTGTAAGATGTAAAACTCTTAAAAGCGGATCAATTGTTGGTATCATTTAATGTCGTTTCCTTGTTTACAAACATCCTAGTTGATCTTGCCATCAAGGTTGTGACAAAAAGACTAAGACAGGATGCCACTTTGTTACAAAGAACATATCCCTTGCCTGTAGACGATATTATTGATCTTCTGTCTTTTTGTCTCAACACCACATACTTTGTGTTTGAGGGCTGTTATTATTATCAACAGGTTTTTGGAACAGCGATGGGGTCACCAGTATCGGCAGTAATTGGTAATTTAGTATTGGAAGATGTCGAACAAAGAGCTTTGGCCTCTGTTCCTGTATCTCTATCGTTTTGGAAATGTTTCGTCGATGTCATCTCTGCGGTTTCTACAAATGAAATCGATATTCTGCTGCAACATTTAAATTCAATTGAGCCGTCTAGTAGAACTTGAGATAAATGGACATTCAGCTTAAAATCGTGAAATAAAAAAACATAAATATCTCAAAAGATGTAATTCCTGAGCTGTAAAAAGTTCAAAACCTTGGGAAAACCCTCAAAAATGCCTGTGGGGGAGGTAGGGAAAACCCCTCACTTGCTGAATGTTTGCTACGACAATAACCAAGAACTACTCGAAGTTGATCATTCTATGTTCGGAAAATGCGACTGCAATTTTGAGCCACGGTCCTTAGTTCTGATGTTAAACCAATCACAGGCCGATATTTTATCATGTGAGCCACGGTGGCCATGTTTTTGTTGTGTAATTGGGAACTGTTCTGAAACTTCTCACCATGAAGTTTAGATTTTTTGTTGAATCAACATTGTGGTCGGAAAGACAGCAAGCGAAGTTGCAATAGAAAATATATATGAATTGTCCAGAAAGATAGACCTGTGCTTATAAGCGCTTTGGTAATATTAATACCTGCAAGGTGAGACTGAATCTGACTTCTAATATTTAGAACTTGTATGCAAAGTGTATATGTAAATTTATTGTGATAAAATATATTACAGTGAAATATTAGCTCAGCACCGAATGCCATCATACAAACATGTCATCATGAACAATATTTTATTTATCCAGTTGATTAATATCCAGTGTATATTAATTAATTTCATTTCTTTGTGATAAAGTTACAATGTGAAATAATATTGCATGTAACTAGTTGTCTGGTTGGTATATTTGTGAACCTAGATCGTATTGTTAACGACAATACCATTTGTTGACATATATGCATATAATAGATATATGGCACTTATACTGGCAATGCATTGCAATGTTTACAAATTCAAGCTTACTTTATTTGTAAATATTTTGGTGATATTATGCAGTATGGTGGCATATATTTTATTTATATATCCTAATTATTCTGTCAAATAATTACTGGATAAAATTAGGGTGTGTTTATATGGAAGTGAGCCATCTTCATATTGAGATGTGTTTTGAGATGATCAGGTTCAGGTTATAATAATTCAGGTTCTCAGTCAGCAAATCTTTTGTTGGCAAATATTTCTTCTGCTGAGGGGGTGACCACCGGATGAGTAACATGCAAAAGACATGGAAACATATACTTGTGAAAACCAATTGTGTGCAAGCCCACTCATTCGAATCTGTCTGGATGAGAAAATCGTCAACAAAATCACCAACTGTGAATCAGGCTTTAGGCATGCAGGTTATCAAGCAAAAAGCCCCATGATGGAACAATATAATATTGAGCCATTAAACACTTGAAAGCAAGTTGCAACAACACTGTTAGAATTATGAGCACTTAAACAATCATGGAAAAGAAGGAAATATCAAGATTACTGATATAAATATTCTTATTATCAGTTCATACAAGGGGGGAAATTACCACCTCCCCCAAATAATTCCTGAAAGTCTTTGAATAGTGGCTGAATAACTACATGTATAACAAAGCTGTAAAAATAATTTTACTATTTTTACATCTAATTGAAAACTATAAATTGGTAGGCTATACATTTAGCAAATTTGCAAGAAATGTATATAAGTTTAACTAACCCATTGAGTCCCAGTGTGCCCTAATGAGGACTATAGTGCCATACTTTATTATTTCACTGTCTAACACCAGATGACTTTACTTGTCAAAGGGAGAGTGCTGGCTCTCAATAGGTTATATAATAATTGAAATTTCTGGGAACTGGGTGGTAATATTGTAGTCACCCACATCCTCCCCATTGTCATATTATAATAATTATGGTAATGAATTACTATGCAAGCATAAATTAACCATACACAAAATCCCAAATATAGTAGCATATAGATCTGTTTCTATGATTCTATGCTTTTATGATGTTTCTATGCTTCCATGTTTCTATGATTCTATATGTTTCTATGCTTCTATGTTTCTATGATTCTATGATTCTATGCTTCTAGGATTCTATGTTTCTATGCTTCTATATGTTTCTATGACTCTATGATTCTTACAACCTATTCCATGTGCGGAACCCATGCCTAAACATATTTTTCAGCAATAAACAGTGTCACTGAAGAGATCACTGGAAACCACAGCTCCGAGCCCTCATGATTTTGTCTGTGTTTTCTTCATAAATTATTAATAAGTAACATTAATGGTCACAAAATGTGTTATTGAAACATATCCTGACAGAAATAATATTTCACATCCAAAATCAAAATACTGCAATGATGCACATTTTCGCTTGTGTTATTATGAGAGCAATTCGCTTTGCATTTTTTACTTTATTTTTTAACTCGTCAATGGGGAAAGCGCTGGTGCACAATTGGTTACTTTGACCAGACAATTTAACTTCAAAGAATAGAAACAGAGGCGGTGCTAGGCTTCTTCCAATGGTGAGAGGCGTGGGCTAAAATCTAGAGTCTCTGAAATGGAGTAACCTTTGTCCTGAGGAAGGTTCCAGATGACTACATCAACAATTGAAACTAAATCACCCACAACAAATTCTGTTTCCAGATATGACCAATGTCAAAAACATGTCAGCATTTATATCGGCTGTTGTGCTGTTTTGCATTTTTAAATAACCGGCTATGACTCGATAGAGAACATCACCTCAATTTAGAAGCAAGATATATAGCCCATGTTTT